ACACAAACATCTTTCTTGGAGTTTACATTCTAGATGGCTAGAAGCTAACCAAAAACAAAAACAAAAAAACCAAAAACCTGATGCTTTTGCTTTTGATTCTTCTTCATATCTTTTAAACATGCTCCAGGTTGTCATGATCTTTCTTAAAATGTGGCATCCGAAATTGAGCAAAAACTCCATGCAAGTATTCTAAAATGAAACCTGGCCTTCCAGATCATAATGAAGGTATATTTTTAGGGTGGGCATGGTGGCTCATGCCTGTAATCCCAGCATTTTGGGAGGCCAAGGGTGGAGGACCACTTAAGCCCAGTAGTTTGAGACCAGCCTGGGAAACATAGTGAGACTCTATTAAAAAATAATTAAAAATTTGCCAAGTGTGGTGGTATGTACTCATAGCCCTAGCTACTCGGAGGCTGAGGAGGGAGGATTGCTTGAGCCCAGGAGTCGAGGCTGCAGTGAGTTGTGATCACACCATGCACTCCAGCCTGGGCGACAGAGTGACACCTTGCCTCTTAAAAAATATCTATCTATATATAATCTTTTATAAATATTTAAATAGAGATGGGATTTCACCATGTTGCCCAGGCTGGTCTCGAACTCCTGAGCTCAAGCAATCCTCCTGCCTCGGCCTCCCAAATTGCTGGGATTATAGGCGTGTGCCACTGATCTTGGCCAAAAAAATGGTATATTTTTAATATTTACATTTACCTTTGTCAAGAAAGGAAGATCAAATGTATTTTATTTAAGCTTGATTGATTTATAGGTCTTAAATATTTAGACCTGTGGTATGTAAGCCTGTACTTGTTCTTTGGTCTCATACCCTACCAGTATTAGGGATTGATGAGTTAATGGGAGAGTGTTCCTCTCCACAGAATTAGTTTCCTACTCATGGCATCAAAATCCGTACATTTAAGACCAATTTTCTCCAAACCAATCATCAAAATATTACAACTCTTTTTTGTTTTGAGATGAAGTCTTACTCTGTCGCCCAGGCTGGAGTGCAGTGGCTCCATCTCGGCTCACTGCAACCTTCACCTCCCAGGTTCAAGCGATTCTCTTGCCTCAGCCTCCTGAGTAGCTGGGATTACAGGTGCCTGCTACCACGTTAAATTTTTTTATTTTTAGTAGAGACGGGGTTTCACCATGTAGGCCAGGCTGGTCTCGAACTCCTGACCTCAGGTGATCCACCCACCTCAGCCTCCCAAAGTGCTGAGATTACAGGCGTGAGCCACCGTGCCTGGCCAAACTTTCTGTTGCAAAAAAACAGAGATTTGTGCAGGTTCGCTGAAGCAGTGGAGCATTTAGTACAAGAATTCGCATGAGATAGGAGAGAGTTGTTAGGACTCAAGAACAGAAACCATAGGGCAGCTGAACCTTGCAGAGAGGCAAAGTGGAGTCAGGGCAGCTCCACAGATCTTGCAGTAGGGATCATTATGCTGGTGCCCTGGAGGTAACATGGCTCCAAGTCACTGCTTCTCCAGATGCATTTCTTCCTCCCATTCTTACCTGGATTCCTGTGAGTTTTGTCTTCCCTCTGCCTCATAGCTTCTTATTCATGATGTGGCTTGTCCACAGGGACTCTCTGTAACCCTGTAACTGAGTGTATTTCTGTCATTCCCCAGGCTGCCATCAGCATAACATGCTCCATATTTCTCAATTCAAAATATCAAAGATGGCCAGACGCAGTGGCTCATGACTAATCCTGGCATTTTGGGAGGCCGACGTGGATGGATCACCTGAGGTCGGGAGTTCGAGACCAGCCCGATCAACATGGAGAAACCTTGTCTCTACTAAAAATACAAAACTAGCCGAGCGTGGTGGCACATGCCTGTAATCCCAGCTACTCGGAGGCTAAGGCAGGAGAATCACTTGAACTTGGGAGGCGGAGGTTGCGGTAAGCCGAGATCATGCCATAGTACTCCAGCCTGGGCAACAAGAGCGAAACTCTATCTAAAAAAAAAAAAAAAAAAATTGGCCGGGCGCGGTGGCTCAAGCCTGTAATCCCAGCACTTTGGGAGGCCGAGACGGGTGGATCACGAGGTCAGGAGATCGAGACCATCCTGGCTAACACGATGAAACCCCGTCTCTACTAAAAAAATACAAAAAACTAGCCGGGCGATGTGGCGGACGCCTGTAGTCCCAGCTACTCGGGAGGCTGAGGCGGGAGAATGGCGCGAACCCGGGAGGCGGAGCTTGCAGTGAGCTGAGATCCGGCCACTGCACTCCAGCCTGGGTGACAGAGCGAGACTCCGTCTCAAAAAAAAAAAAATCAAGGACCAGAATGTAATTGGATTTCTGTGCTCCTTGTAAGGAAAATATGTTTATCCCAAGCCAATTTGTAGCCAGTTTCCTGGTCTAATTAATACAACGGGTAGAGTAGCATTGGTTGATTGGCTGTCCTTCTGTTAGGTGTGCACCCCTATCCAAGTAGCTATGGTCCGAGGGGATCATGTAATAGAAAACCCGGTTGCTGACGGCTGGCTCATGATGGGGCAGTTTTTCTTAGAAGTGGCCGTGGGCACAGCAGACACCATGATTACTCAATACAGTAGTTGTTGTGAGTCTCTGGCTGCCCTGCCATATTTGCTACACATTCTCCAAGAAAACAGTTCACCTCCTGACTAGCCATGATACACCACCATAGCATATCTCTATAGTGGAACACTAACACCAGTATATATTTCTTTTTAATATGGTATGTGTAAGGATTATTAGATTTGCTATCATCAGTGGTTCTTCCTCATTTTTCTGAGGTGCACAGGTTAATGCTTCTTCCTTAGAAGGTTCATAATTCACTTTAGGTGGGGTCTGCACTCCACTTAGTTGGGGGCCAGGGAAGGTCTGCATAAGGTACTAGCAAAATCGTGATGGTCTGGGTCCTGGGGTCCAGCGCTAGATTTGCTAGAGGGGAGATTTACAAGTATGAACCAAGGTCTTTACAAAATGCCAAGGAAAGAGATTGAGAAAACCAACTCCAGGCGGCAAGTCCAGAGGGTAGAACAAGGTCAAAAGCAGGAGACAATCGAAGGATTGGGAATTGGGCAAAATTGGAATAGATGGAGGGTGATGTGAGAACTGCTGACACAGGAGCCAAATTGTCTGTGTTTGCTTTTATGGACTCACCAGGCAGGCCATGGGGGATATTCTGGAAGAGCCTATTTTCTTTTCCTTCTCCCTTTACTCCTGGGCATGTTCTTTTGTTTCAACCTCTGTGAGTCATTCCAACCCTTCTTCATCACCTTGGAAGCTTTTAGTTTCTGCTGGGGTTATTTTTTCCTGCATGTCTCAGAATTCTCCAATTTCTTCAATAACCTGGAGTTCAGCATGACGTATCTCAAGTCTTTTAACCAGCTTGCTTTAAAGAACACAGTCTGGCTGGGTGCGGTGGCTCATGCCTGTAATCCCAGTACTTTGGGAGGCCAAGGCAGGTGGATCACTTGAAGTCAGGAGTTCGAGAGCAGTCTGGCCAACATGGTGAAACTTCATCTCTACTAAAAATACAAAAATTAGCTGGGCATGATGGTGGGTGCCTGTAATCCCAGCTGCTGCAGAGGCTGAGGCAGGAGAATAGCTTGAACCTGGGAGGCAGAGGTTGCAGTGAGCAGAGATTGCACCATTGTACTGTAACCTGAGCAACAGAGCCAGACTCTGTCTCAAAAAAAAAAAAAAAAAAAAAAAAAAGAACACAGTCTGGAAGATGAATTTTGTATCTGCCTTACAAGTCACTGAAACTATTCTCTCAGCACCTGTGTGCCTGATAATCAAGAACAACAAGCTTCGTGTCTTCCTCAAGCAAACTCTGCCCCTGTCTTAGGACATTCCTGGGAAGTGCTCCTTTATACAGTTCTTTTTATGTTGTGCATCCAGCCCCACCCCAGTCCCAAGCCTGATAATCTACCAAGGAAAGATAGCAGTTACTAAGATGGCTTGTTATCACAGGTCTGATACGCTCCCACATCATCTCACAGATGCGCACCTGATTCTTGAAGTCAGGTAATCCACACGATGACCAGCAATGCTACCTTGCTCACATACCTCCCTGTGTTGCATATTCCACACCTTTATCATGACTGCTGTCTGAAAAGGACACATGTCCAGCTTTATAATCAGAGACGATGCCATTAATAATTTCAAAGAGAAAAATCTTTTGAATTGGCTCTACTAATCCTAAAATCATTAAAACGTCATTGTTCTTAAGGAAAATGGTCTCAGATCTGTCCTCAGTTGCTCTACTCATAAATGACCAAGTAAGTCTGAATTCACATCTCCACTTGGAACGTTTCTTGGTATGTATTCAGAACACCCGTGAAGTCACCAACCTAGGGGTGACTTTAAGGGTGGGGTATGTGCATGTGCGGAGAAGAGATTTGTCCATAGAACTTCTGTTTAGAATGCATTTATAAATTGTGGTCTAGGGTGCCCCAAATCTTACTATTAGTGCTATATGATGAGAGCATTGACAACAAAATGGGTTTTCGTGGACTGGCATGGGAGTTAGGCTCTCACTTTTACTTTACATGGGTGAGGCACAGTGGCTCATACCTATAGTCCCAGTGCTTTGGGAGGCCAAGACAGGAGGCTCACTTGAGCCCAGGAGCTTGAAACCAGTTTGGGCTACAAAGCAAGATCGCATCTCTACGAAAAAATTAAACATTAGCTGGGCATAGTGACACACCTCTAGTCCCAGCTACTCAGGATGCTGAGGCAAGAGGATCGCTTGAGCCCAGGGCGTTGAGACTGCAGTGAGCAGTGATTACTCCACTTCACTGCAGCCTGGGCAACAGAGCAAGACCGTGTCTAAGAACAAACAAACAAAAACAAAAACAAAAAAACCATAATCATGTAACATAAACATGTAACAGGAGCGTCATCTGGCCCTCTGACAATAGTATGTAGTGTGTTCTGCAATAGTTTAGAACTTACGTAAATATAGGCCTTTCTCAAACAACCAAGTGTTATTTTCTGAGTATGTATAGTGGAGAAGATATAGGCATTACAAGGCATGTTTACCTTTTTAATAAGCAGTTCAATTGTTTTTCTTATTCACGTAATTCAGGATCAACAGTAACTTCATCTAATGTGCCATCAGAGCAGTCACACATTGAATGAAAGTGATGGCCACCACAAAATCCTTTTTCTCCTGAACTCTCCATAAAGTCTCCTTTCTTTGCACATCTTTGTGCTAAAATAATTAGCTACTTGTAGAGACAGTACACATAGCAACACTATACATTCACATACTTTTCCCCACATCTGTTATCTTATTTAAGCGCAACTTATTTGGAATCAGAATTGAATTCAAATTGTGACTATGGCAGTAAGTAACTATGACCTCGAGGAAGTCACTTAAGCTCTCTGGGTTTCAGTTTTCTCACTTGTATGATGAGATTAATAATAAAAATTATGGCTAGGCAAGGTGGCTATGCCTGTAATCCTAGTACTTTGGGAGGCCGAGGAAGGTGGATTGCTTGAGCTCAGGAGTTTGAGACCAGCCTGGGCAACATGGTGAAACCTCATCTCTATCAAAATACAAAAATTAGCTGGATGTGGTAATGCACGCCTGTGGTCCCAGCTACTTGGGAGGCTGAGGTGGAAGGATCACCTGAGCGAGGGAAGTTGAAACTGTAGTGAGCTGTGATCATGTTTCTGCACTCCAGCCTGGGTGACAGAGCTTGACTCTATCTCGGGGGGGGGGGGGGGGGGGAGGCGTGGGGAAATTACCTCACTGGATAGTATGGATTAAATGAGCTAGTATTTGCAAATTTCCTTGCACAAAGAGTATGCATTCAATAAATGGTAGATTAATCTCTAATAATTGTCCCAAGCTTTGTAAGTCTACCAGACAGTTTTAATTATCCCTGCCTGCATAGATGAGTTTAAGTGACTTATCTAGGGTTAAACAATTCACTAATGGCAGCACTAGTGCTTCTGATTCCAGGGCCCCACCCCAGCCCATCACCCCCAGTCAACTTTATAGACTTTTATAGAATGAGATGCTGTGTCGAGCACAAGAAGAGAATTCTCCTTGGTGAAGGTAAGAGCCACAGGATGGGAAAGACCATGAGTGACCATGGGCTTCAGTACTGGAAACTCCTCAGGTTTTCCTAAGCAAAAGATAGCGGGACCAGAGGTATCTGCAACAATTACATTTCCCTGGTGATCAAAGGTCACAGCGGAGGCAGTTATTCTGGAGGGAAAGTAGAGGCTCAACCCAAAGGTATCCACCTGGCCGACAAGTTGCATACTTGAGCTAAACACTTTCACCCTGGTGCTGCAAACCCCAGTCCCCAGGGCCAGGGGGTGCTCCAGGACTGCAATGGCCCCCGTGAGCCAAGACACTGCCACCCCTCGGGGACTGCACAAATGAGCTTGCAACTTTTCAGTTCTCCGAAGGACCCCTTCTGCGAAGTCGACGTCCAGGAGGTGCAGGGACCCTGCCTCCGCGTCAGTTACCACAATCCCATTCTGAGGGGTGGTCTCCACACCCCAAGGTAAGGAGAATTGGCCTCCAATGACAAGCTTGATCTGGCCAAAAAAATCAAACACTTTGATGGAGCGATCGCCGGCGTCAGTGACAACCACATGGCAGTCGTTGGTGATGGTGACATCCACAGGATACCTAATGTCTTGGGCAGCGTCCCCCTTCTCTCCAAACTGATGCGCGCATCCTCCCCCAGAGTCAAAAATCTTGACACGCCTCCTGCCGTCGTGCACCACCACAACCCGCCCCGTCTTGGGACAAAGCGCCAGTCCGGTGGGGTTGACCAGGGTCCCCCAGCCGCCAAAGGTATGGTGGCAGGTGAGGGCTCCGGGGGCGCTGGGGGCGGCGCGGTGGGCAGCCGGGGACTGGCGAAGCGCTGAGCCCAGGAGCTCTATGAGGTGCAGCACCGGCAGGCAGTCGCTGGTGTCGCAGCCCCGGCAGGCTCGCCTGCAGAATGGGCACTCGAGGGCCAGCGTGCGCGGGTGCGCCAGGGCGGCCACGCAGGCCAGGCAGACCACGTGGCCGCAGGACAGGTTGCGCGGGCGCCGCTGCTGCCGGTGGCCAAACTTCTCAAAGCACACCTTGCACTCCAGCAGGCTGATCTCCGCCTCGCGCATGAGCTCCTGCAGCGCCGGCTCGCTCTCCGAGGCTTCGGCCGCCATGGCAGGTCCTGTGCACTCCCGCCGCGCCCCCCGGCCGTGCCCCAGAGACGCTCTTGGTCACGGTCACAGTCACGGTCACGGGGTGGGACGTGCGCCCTGACGTCAAGCGCCGCGGGCCTCTGCACTGCGATCTGCTGCCCCTTGGTGGGCATGCGCGGCACTGTTTCTTGAGGTCCTGGTCGTGGACGTTTGCAAGACAAATCCACATGCGCATTGTGTAGACCTGTAATCGTCACATCACTCATGGATGGATTGTGTACATTTTCAGATGAGGAAACACACCTGTTGAGGACAACAGGATTGCTCCCTGTTACCCAGCCTGTAAGTGGCAAAACAAGAACCAGAACCCAGTCTTCCAGCCCGGGCGCCTAGCAGTGTCTCCAATCCACAGCGTTGGGTGCTAGGGCTGTCCAGGCATCAAACATGGTCCCCTAGCTCATGATGCTTATGATCTGAACCAGAAAACACGAACACACGGGAGAAGACAAACTCCAAGGGAGGTGAGGCAGATGTGTATATTTCTTTTGTGTCTTCTTTCACACTCGTAGTTAAGTCAATGAATACATACTTGTAAAATGAATTCGTGCATGAATGAAAGAATGTTATGGAACAACAACAAAAAAATCAACTAGGTGAATGAGTGTCAGATGGGGGAACCACGCTGGAAGTGTCTTGCAGAGTAATTAATATGAAATAAGAAAGCTGTTAGTTAATAATAATCACCATAGAACTTTTTTTTTTTTTTTTTTTTTAAAGACCAAGTCTGACTCCGTCACTCAGGCTGGAGTGCAGGGGCACGATCACAGCTCACTGCAGCCTCCATCTCCCAGGCTCAAGCAATCCTCCCACTTCAGTAGCTGGGACTATAGGCATGCACCACCACACTAGGGTAATTTTTAAAATTTTTTTGTAGAGAGGAGGTCTCTCTGTGTTTGCCTAGGCTGATCTTGAACTTGTGAAAATTGTTCACAATCCTCCCCACCCCTTGGCCTCCCAAAGTGCTGGTGTGAGTCACTGTGCCCAGCCTATAGAATTCACATATGCCTGCCCTGTCGTGTTAGGTTGGTGCAAAAGTATTCGCAGTGTTTGCCATCACTTTTAATGGCAAAAATCGTGATTACTTTTGCAGCAACTTAATAAATAGTTTACATAGATTATCTTGTTTAAACCTCATAGCAATCCTACAAGAATATGTTATTTTTATCATCTTTTTTTCTCATAGAGTTCATATAAATCAAATATCTTGCCTAGGGTCACATGGCTAGGAAGTGGCTGGCCTGGAATTTGAAGCCAGGCAGTTTGACTTCAGAGTTACCTATTTTAGTCATTTTCAAACTTCTTTGCACATAGTAAACCCCTGGGTCACACCCGAAAAGTTTAATTGGCCCATGGTGTGGTCTGGACAGCTGGGATTTATAAAAGCTCTTCAGGTGATTATAATGGACAGCCAAGTTTGAGAACCGCTGCATTATAATAATTCCTTCAAATGGCACTAAATTCAGTTTTTCCAATCTCAGTGAAGACCAAAAGCAAAGAGAATTTGCCATATGTTGGAAAAGCTTCAAACAATCTGTGTGAAGAATCCATTGTGGTATTATAAATCTCTCATTTTTCTTTTTCTTTTCTTTTTTTTTTTTTTTGAGATGGAGTCTTGCTCTGTCACCCTGGCTGGAGTGCAGTGGTGCGATCTCAGCTCACTGCAACCTCTGCCTCCTGGGTTCAGGCAATTCTCCCGCCTCAGCCTACCGAGTAGCTGGGATTAAAGGCACCCACCACCACCTCCGGCTAAGTTTTGTATTTTTAGTAGCAATGAGGTTTCACCATGTTGGCCAGGCTGGTCTTGAAATTCTGACCTCAGGTGATGCACCCGTGTCAGCCTCCCAAAGTGCTAGGATTATAGGCATGAGCCACCGTGCCTGGCCCTGATCTCTTATTTTAAGGGGTTCTTCCCCAAATGTCTTATGTGAACACTGTGCTTAACAAAACCTTATATCAGAGAATTTCTGTTCCTTCAGAGATCATAACATGATCGTTCACCTTCTGATTTGCTAGATTTATGAGAAAACACAGCATTTTATACCCTGTTAAGGCCCCTGGAAAGAGTTTTAATGTAAGACAAGAAAGAACGTTTGCTAATGAAATGTCATCTGACCCAAAGATTGCGTACTGGGACACAATAACCAACTTAATACTCTAATTTCTGACTACATTTCCATCCCAAATAAACAACCAACTAAAATCACATTATTTATGCAATTACACCGTTGCATAATTGATTAATAACAGAAATGTATTGAATCTCACTGTGACATTTGGCATTTCCTATGACTGTCATTTCCTCCTCCATGGCTGGGACTCCATGGATTTCCTCTGTGCTTCCCTCCGATATTCCTTCTATAGAGGGTCCTGGACTAGCATGCCCATCTTTTCCTGCTTCCGCCTAGAACAAGCCCTGAGAGTTGTGGGCGCAAAGAGCTTGAAGAGCAGAATGTCTAGTTTCCAAACTGGTCAGTGGCTGCCCCATGGAAAAGTACCATACTGTAGTGGAAGGAGAGTGGGGACCCAACTCAGGATAGTTCCAGCAGAGAAGAGAGCACAGGGGGAGCATGAGGTAGGGGGAGTCAGTGCTTAGGCAGGTGGGCTCCTGGCTGTGCAGGTGGGGCAAATGTGCCAGATACATGGAGTTTAGAAGGAATCCGAGAACAAGTTTAATGATCCAATTACAACTCAGACTACCCGACAATGATGTAAGAGAAAGGAGGATGAACAAGCCACATAGAATGGGTTTTGCTTCCAGCCTTGCCCTCCTCCCAGGGGCATCTCTGACCACCACTCTAAATGTTAAGCTCCATGATCTTGGCATCTCGGGGTGAGGGATGTGGTGGCAAGAGGAAGAACGGCTGTTTTGAATTTTTTGAGTAAGTCCATACAAAAATGAGTGGAGATGTATGTTTGGAAATGGGGATCTAGAGATGTGAGTGCATCTTAAGTTCAATGCAACTGAGTGTTCCTCAGGGTGCCACCCTTGGTCTTTTTCTCTTAGCTTCCTGTTTCCCTGAGCAACACCATCTTCACTTCCTCATGGTTTAAATAACCACTTAAAAGCTGACAGCCTATACCCCTAAGACAGCCGTACCATGCTATATAGTAAAGTTCAGTGTTCAGCCCCTACCCCTACAACCTGTGATGTCTGAGAACAGGACTATCTTCAGTAGTCAATAAACCTTTATCTGCTAGCACACCCAACAGTACTTAAATTGCTGAATGAATGCTGACTCTAATAACAGGAGAAAGACTAAATAATAATGGTACTGCCACATTACAACATTATACAGCTATTTAAAAATCTTGCTTTTGGGCTGGGTGCGGTGGCTCACACCTGTAATCCCAGCACTTTGGGAGGCCGAGGCTGGCAGATCACGAGGTCAGGAAATTGAGACCATCCTGGCTAACAGGGTGAAACTCTGTCTCTACTAAAAAATACAAAAAATTAGCCAGGCATGGTGGTGGATTCCTGTAGTCCCAGCTACTTGGGAGGCTGAGGCAGGAGAATGGCGTGAACCCAGGAGGCAGAGCTTGCAGTGAGCCAAACTCGTGCCACTGCACTCCAGCCTGGGCGACACAGCGAGACTCCATCTCAAAAAAAAAAAAAATTGCTTTTGAAAAATATTTAGTGATGCTGTTACCAGTAGAGGATCTTGACTACAAGTTGTCCAGGTTCTTGGCTTTTTCAACAAAGAATTGGACAAACTGAAGCAACGAAAGCAGAGATTTATTGAAAATGAGGGTGGGACCTGGCTAAGCAGTGGCTCAAGGGCCCTGGTTACAGAATCTTCTGGGGTCCAAATACTGGCTAGAGGTTTCCCATTAGCCACTTGGTATTCATCCCATGCAAATAAAGTAGTGGCCCGCCATCAGTCTGATTGGTTGCTTTTGCTTTCTGCAACCAGACGCTGAAGTGAAGTTACAAAAGTTACACTCCCATGCAAACGTCTGATTGGTTGCAGACATTTCTGCCACTCGGAAAAGGCGGGGGGGGGGGGGGTGGGGGGGGGGGGGGGTGTTACAAAGGGAGTAGCTTCTGGTCCTTTTGTTACTCAGGCATGGAAAGTTGAGGTTTTCCTTTCAATTTAGTTCTAGGAAGTCAGCAACAATCAGCCTTAGGTTCCTTGCCTCCAGACCCTATTCTCCTGCCTCAATACAGGGAAGGGCGAATAAAATAGAAAGGAAGATAGTGGAGATGCAATGCTGTATCATAATATAATCACAACCTTGTGAAAACATACACATGTATGAGCAGACCAAAAAGATAAGAAAATACATCACCATCATAGCAGTAATTATCTCCAGTGACAGGACTTGATTGCTTTTTTCTTTTTAAACTTCCCAAATTTTCAATGCATAAAGGATTATTTGTCTTATTTAAATATAAATAACTTAATATTTTATGGTATATTTCATTTCTAAATATCTGCCTTGATTATCCTCCTGTTGTTGAAAGTTAACACCAATAGTGAAATAAATTTCTATTAATACCCACTGGTTTAGGAATCACAGATTTTCAGACATATTTTCAGCCCACAAATTACAGCTACACATAATTAATAAATCTGGGACATGGCTATTTTCTGCAAATCAGAATGACTATGCTTAAGGCACATAAATAGAATTCTATCCGATTCCCATTAACTCAGCCACTGATCAGTTTGTCATATAATGTTTTATAAGGCAAAAAGCCATCACATAAGAAGTGATTGGAGTCAGAGCTGTGGGGATTAAAGATAATTTTGATTTTTTTTTTGAGACAGAGTTTTGCTCTTGTTGCCCAGGCTGGAGTACAGTGGCATGATCTCAGCTCACTGCAACCTCTGCCTCCCAGGTTCAAGTGATTCTCCTGCCTCAGCCTCCTGAGTAGCTGGGATGACAGGCACATGCCACCACGCCCTGCTAATCATTGTATTTTTAGTAGAGATGGGGTTTCACCATGTTGGCCAGGCTGGTCTCAAACACCTGACCTCAAGTGATCCGCCCACCTTGACCTCCCAAAGTGCTGGGATTACAGGCATGAGCCACTGCACCCAGCTGATAATTTTGATTTTTAAATAGCACTCAGTAGAAATCTTTCTCTGACTTTTCAGAAAGAGTAGGTGTAGGCTGAGCAGTACTTTGGGAGGCTGAGGTGGGAGGATCACTTGAGGCCAGGAGTTCGAGATCATGCTGGGCAATATAGTGAGACCTCGTCTCTATTAAAAAGAAAAAAAAAATTAGCTGGGTGTGGTGGCACATGCCCGCAGTCCCATCTACTCAGGAGGCTGCGGCAGAAGGATTTCTTAAGCCTAGGAAACCGAGGCCGCAGTGAGCTATAATCACACCACCGTACCCCAGCCTGGGCGACAGAGTGAGACCCTGTCTCAAAATAAAAAATAAAAATGAGTAGGTGCAACATAAACATATACATGTATCCACAAACACACATTGAAATTGCTCCCTTGTATTAAAATAAAACAATGACAGGTATGTACTGCAGTTGTGACTGGGTAAATTACTTGAACTAATATCTCCGTGGCTTAGGTTGTGTTTGTCACTTCATTCTGCCAACGAATCCCGTCAGCTGGGAGCTCTCTCATAGGTACATCTTTTGGGCCACCTTCTGTGGTCCCTGTGCCATTCTTTATGGAGCCAAATCTCTAACATGCCAGTGATCGCTGTTTAAGCTTTGGTTATATTTCTTTGTATTTTTCTTTCCACATTCACCCAAACAGACTGATTATTACATACCTTTCTTTCTTTGTCCTGTCTGCTACTGATAACATTGTCTACACTGGAGCATTCATGCCTGCTTCAAAGGCAGGGCAAGGCACTTGTAAACCACAGTGTGCAGGGTACAGAGGCTTAGATAATCTGTTCCTTAAATAACAAAATGAAACAAGAACCATTTTTGGAAAATCCTAAAAACAATTCAATTGCTCTAAAATAAATTATAAGTGGTATATCTTCCATCTTGAGACTTTGAGACGTCAATATTCCCCAATGAAGACACATATTACATAAAAGATCAACTACGTAAGGATATCTCATTTGTATTATTGAAGATTCTTTGAGCACAAGTGCAAGAGGAGAGGACTCTATCCCATGGACACAGGGTGTTCTTCCCCACCCTGGGCAGCTGGGCTTCAGGAAGGATGAAAATGGACCCAGAACACAGGTGGCCTCTCTTTGGTTCTCATCTCTTTCCGCAGATCAGCATTCTGTTTCTCAGATCCATGTGGTGGAATGTGGCTACCCCACAGCCCCCAGGCGTACATGTTACAGATTCCCCATTCGGCAGTCAACTTGCCTTTCTTTTCTGTTTTTTTGAGATGGAGTTTCGCTCTGTTGCGCAGGCTGGAGTGCCGTGACGTGATCTCAGCTCACTGCAACCCCCACCTCCCAGGTTCAAGTGATTCTCCTGCCTCAGCCTACCGAGTAGCTGGGAGTACACGTGCGTGCCACCACACCTGGCTAATTTTTTGTATTTTTAGTAGAGACAGGGTGGCCTTTCTATTCCCAAGTCCAAAAAAGTCTATGAAGAGGGCCAGCACAATGGCTCACACCTGTAATCCTAGCACTTTGGGTGGCTGAGACAGGAGCACTGCTTGAGGCCTCACATCAAGTTCCACATCAGCCTGGACAACAAAGTGAGACCCTGTCTCTACAAAAAAGCAAAATCAAAAGTCTCTGGAGAGAATTGTGTTGGTCCAGCTTGGGTGAGTTTTCCATTCAACTGGTGATGCAGGCAGAGTTGGGGAGTCATGGCTTCTGAAGCCCACACGATAGACTGGGAGCATGTCTCAGAGACGCAAGAATCATTGTGGACAAGGAGGTGCTTCAAATTCATAGCCTTACAAATCTATTAGAATACATCAATGGCAGAGAGCTTCTAGGGTAGAAGTTTGTACATGCAGGTCAAACAGAACTAGAGAGGTTGACAAGACATATCTCTGGGGAGAATACCATAGCTTTCACCAATGTTAAAGGGGACCCTAAACCCCCCCCATTAACAACCTTTAAGCCAGCACACACGCATGTGTGCACACACACACGTAACTCATTTTTTATAATGCACAACTATCCTATTAACATGAGCTGAACAATCTAAACCATTTAGTTGTTGGGTAGTACACAGCTATCTATACAGGACTGTCCGATATAACAAAATGTGATCGTTAATGAAAAACTGAAAAATCTAAACTTTCATAATAAACAGCCATGAATCCAGCTCTAAGTACATTATACTTTATAAGACCTGATGATGTAAACAGGTTAAATTATAAAAAACAACAACTGCCAAACTAAGAGAAAACTCAAAGAAAAATTTACTCTTAGAATTTGGGAATGTTTATTCCATATAGATTATTTAATTAAAGTTTGTTTCTTGATTCCATTACAGATTAATTAAAATTTGTTTCTTGATTCTGTTATATATGGAGAAACCACGTGAAAAGGGATGCTAGGATCTGAGTAAAAGACTTTAAAAAAAAAGGTTTATAGTAAAAACTAATCTTTTATATAACTTTTAGGACCACCTTGAACCCTACTGAAGTGTTATATTTCTTCGACAATTCTAAATTTCATAAAGAATGTCAGGCCGGGTACAGTGGCTCACGCCTGTAATCCCAGCACTTTGGGAGGCCAATGTGGGCGGATCACCTGAGATCAGGAGTTTAAGACCAGCCTGACCAGCATGGTGAAACCCCGTCTCTACTAAAAATACAAAAAATTAGCTGGGTGTGGTGGTGCACACCTGTAATCCCAGCTACCTGAGAAGCTGAGGCAGGAGAATCGCTTGAACCCGCGAGGTGGAAGTTGCAGTGAGCCGAGATTGTGTCATTGCACTCCAGCCTGGGCAACAAGAGTGAGACTCCATCTCAAAAAATAAAATAAACTAAAATAAATGCCAGTTTTTCTGTGTGTATTATATTTAATATGCATTGCATTTAAATTTTTTTTTAATTGTACAGGTAACACATGCTGATTGGTAAAGTATCTTGCAATCGGCACGACACACAGGTATAATCTTTCACATCATAATCTCCTCTCCTAAGGAGCTACTTTAAAAGTTTAGTTACATCTTTTTGTTCTAAAACTTTTTTAGAAAAAGTAAGCAGCTTTACTAAAAAGCTGTTTTTAGTAAAGATCTATCATACGATTTATAAACAATTTTAAAAATTAATCTGTTACATTTTCAGGTGTTAGCAGAATTTTCAATTCCTCAAAAACATGTCAATGTGATTTTATTTTATCTATGTCTCATTTACTTTTCTGTAAGTAGATACAACTTTTCCAAAAGATAGTCAATTCCCCAACTTTTATGTCGTTCTTCAAAAGCATCAACCTTCTCTAGACAATGTATATTGCATATTTTACCTGAAACAAGAAAGAGTAACACGTTAAAATACTATGAAGAATGACATCAGGGATTCTTTTAAAAATACTTAAAATTGGCTGGGTGTGGCAGCTCACACCTGTAATATCAACACTTTGGGGGGCCGAGGTGGGTGGATCACTTGAAGTCAGGAGTTCAAGACCAGTCTGGCCAACATGGTGAAACCCTATCTCTACTAAAAATACAACATGAGCCGGGTATGGTGGCACATCCCAGCTACTTGAGAGGCTGAGGCAGAAGAATCGCTTGAACCTGGGCGATGGAGGTTGCAGTGAGCTGAGATTGCACTCTAGCCTAGGCAACAAGAGCAAAACTCCATCTCAAAACAAACAAAACCTTGAAATTATTTTAAAAACAGTGTATACTAAAGGTTTTTCTCTTCTTTTTAATCAAAACAAAGGAATGCTAAGGGCAAATTTCCTGAACTCTGAATTGTTATTATCACTTTTAACTCCCAAGAGAAAAATAAATACACCACTGGGCATGGCGGCTCATGCCTCTAATCCTAGTACAGCGGGAGACCAAGACAAGAGGATCGCCTGAGCCCAGGAGTTCGAGACCAACCTGGGCAATGTGGTGAAACCTCATCTCTACAAAACATTACAAAAATTAGCTAAGCATTGTGGTGCATGCCTCTGGTCCCAGATACTTGGGAGGCTGAGGTGGGAGGATCACTTGTGCCCAGGGAGGTCGAGGCTGCAGTGAGCTGTGATTGCACTTCTGCACTCCAGCCTGGGTGACAGAGCAAGATCCTATCTCAAAAATAAATAAATAAATAAATAAAAATATACCATCTCTCTAGAAAAGTTCAAATGCCTTTAACATAAAGCATACAGCATATATACAGAGCATATTTAGAGATTAGTTCCTTTTCTAAGATAAAACAATTTTAAATAAAATGATCTTTATCTTTTAAATTTTATAGACATACTGTAGATACTAATATACTAATAGTTCACAACAGATTTTTTTGGTGTTTGTTTGTTTTTTTTTAGATGGAGTCTCACTGTTACCTAGGCTGGAGCACAGTGGCACAATCTTGGCTCACTACAATCTCTGCCTCCCAGGTTCAAGCAATTCTCATGCCTCAGCCTCTCAAATAGTTGGGACTACAAGCATATGCCACCACACTGGCCTAATTTTTGAATTTTTGTAGAGACGGGGTTTCGCCATGTTGGCCAGGCTGGTCTCGAACTCCTGGCCTCAGGTGATCTGCCCACCTTGGCCTCCCAAAGTGCTGGAAATACAGGCATGAGTCACCATGTCCAGCCTAAAAGAGTTAACTTGACTTTATTTAAAAAGTTACAGCATAAGTCCACAAACTTACCAAACAACCTTTCAATTTCAGCATGTGGAACATAAAATGGTGGACCTAGGTAAAAGAGAAATAAATTCTCAGTTTATTTCCAATGACCTAGGTGTACTTGTTCTATATACCACTTCGTTATCCAAATAGGTGATGATGTGGCATGTTCTTCTCATTCTTCTTTTGCAAATCATACTGAATACATACACTGGCTTACTGAGAGGATGGCAATGTTACATACCCATCATATCCATCTTTAGCTTCGATGAGACAGCTAAGCCAGTCAAGGGACTTAGGCTCATTGAAATCAGAGTGGAGTCCGTCAGCAGATTCCTTTGGGGCTTCAACCATCTTCTAGTATACTGATTTTCTACCAACTCCTGCACTTATCCACATTTTATACACCCCTCCCGCTCTACTGCAGGATATACACTATAAGGAAGCTGAGCTTCCGCCCCCTTCTAAGAGCAGTAACCTCAGCCATCCACCTCCAGACAGGGCCTGCTGTATTTTCTTCCCAAAGGTTCTTTGTTAGGGCTCCTATTCATGAATGGAATTTAAAACAGATTAGCAGAGCTAACTTCTGCCTCTATTAATTTCTATTTCCATTTGATTGTCTCTGATTTAATTAGGGACACCAGGTCTCATCTTTTAATGAGTTTTTTAAGACCTCAATTTATTCAAGCAGAAACAAAATACTAGCTGGGCACAGTGGTTGACGCCTGTACCGAGGAGGGCAGATCACCTGAGGTCAGGAGTTCGAGACCAGCCTGGCCAACATGGTGAAATCCTGTCTCTATTAAAAATACAAAAATTAGCTGGGCGTGATGGCACACACTGTAATCCCAGCTACTTGGGAGGCTGAGGCAGGAGAATCGCTTGAACCCGGAAGGCAGACGTTGCAGTGAGCCGAGATCAAACCACTGCACTCCAACCTGGGCCACAGAGTGAGACTGTGTCTCAAAAACAAAAAACACAACAAAACAAAAAACAAAATTCTAACATATGTAAATACTTAAAAAACAAGCACGTAAAAAAGCTCAGTTGAAAATCAAAAAGGTGACTCTTACAAATTAAAAGTCTATGTATTTCTCCCTTTACAAGTCCAGCCATGACAAAGGTTAAGTTTCAATGTTCGAATGCATTAAAATGAATCCAGGAGAAAATATACCCCCAACAGATTCAAAACAAATAAAAGAATGCAATAGATAGGTTTTAAAACTTCAGAAATTAAAAAAGGACAATAATTTATAGCTTTTCCTGCACAACTCCTACATCCCCACATTCACTTCTCACCCCGGGCTTGTGTATGTGAAGGCATCCGTCCAACACATCACTACCACTTGGGTGATATGGATATGCAATATCCAACCACATTCCTCCTTCCTCCCAATAGGGCTCATGAGATTTCTCTTGTATATCAGGATCATCCACTTCCCCCCTTTCTCCAGTCTGAGTTGTGAATGGTAAACAAAATGGGAAAGGAATACAGGAAAATCATGGACAATATAGGAAAAGAAAAAATTCTTATAGTTCCCATCAGCCAAAACTGGAATTACCTCCATGTATATACGCAGTATGCTTCCTGTGAGATAAATTAGGAGAAAATAATGCTTTTCCATGTCAGAGAATTTATATCAAGAAACTAAGCAACTAGTAAAAGAAAAAAAAAAAAAACCCAACAACTTTACCTGGATGTTTAGTTGGATCATAAGAAAAAACACACAGGAGATATTGAAACTTCTTTCCCAGGAGGGATAACATTGTATCTGCATAGCTAAAAGAACACAAGAAGGTATTTGTTACATTTCTCTACACAGGCAAAGGCTGGAGGGACAAAAGGCAGGGAAGGAAGCCAGAAGTTACTTTCGCTGATATTACTGAGTTTAAATTCTCCTAATAATCACAAGAGGTTGATTCTCATTTTAACAGTGAGAAGTGGGTTTAGCAAAGTATGACCCCTGCCTAAGCTGGGAATTGGTCCAAATGGGAATCAAATCGAGGCCTGCTTTCAGAGCTGATCAGAGCAGAAGACATCACATAAGGTTGGGTAGAGGCTCCTGGCCTGAAGAAGTACTCGAGGGCCTGCTTGGATGCCTGTGTGCTTGAGGGCAGTGGTTTCTAGACCAGGCTGGGTGTCAAAATCACTGGGGTGCTTGTTGAAAGAAAAGATGCCCAAGCTCCATCCCCACAGACCAATGCAGTCAGTTTGCCATGGGGCCTGGGATGCTACAATTTAACAAATATCCTGGGTGACTGGGACCCCTCCAGGGGCCTTATGTAAGAGAAAACACAATTCTTTTCCTCTATTAATTAGAGAGAAATTAGAATAACAAGCAGGTAAAAAAAGGTGGCATAAAATGAAAGCTCTGCAAGTGTGGCGTAAACCATGAGTGCAATGGAACTGTCCTTTGACAGCCAGGTCTGATTGGCTCAGAGCGGGAAGCTGATGCTAACAGGACCCATCGATGGACTGGGCAGAAGCCGGGGCTGGACCAGGGACAGACGATGAGTTGACCAATCAGATGACTGACTTGGAAATTGAATTAAGAGACCGAAGAGGACTTGCTAATTAGCTGTGGTCCTACTGAAAGTTGGAGCTTTTCTGTTGTATGGTGATTGGAGCAAGGAGGCTGAGGGCTGAAGGCAAATCAGTTATGTGGGAATAAAAATGGAGGAAGCTGAGGGATAAGGAGAGGACAGGAGATGCATGCAGGGAGGTAGAGAGGCCACGAGAGACAGGTCAAGGACAAAGATGGACACTCTTCCCCACACTGAGGAAGGAGCCTGCGCTCTTGGCGCTCCAGTTTCTACAGAGCCTGGCTAGACTATGATCTGTGTCCAGAGGTCTGTGAGAAGTTGGGGAGGCAAGTGTGGAGATTAGGAGTATGGACTCTATGAGATGCCCAAGCTCAAACCCTAGTTCCTCTACTCATTTATTTAAAAAACATTTATTAAGCTCTTACTAGGAGCTAAATATATACTATGCCAGACACTGGGGAAATAACTGACCTCAGGTGATCTGCCCACCTCAGCCTCCCAAAGTGCTGTGTCTACTCTTGGTCTGCACTTGGTGACTTTCAGTTTGCTTCCCACTGCTTGGTTGATTTTACCATGCCAACCAGAGCCTGTAGAAGGACTAACCTCTAAGGAGTGGATGAACATCTTTAGGGAGTGGGAAACACCTACAAATTTAGACATTAGCAGATCAGGTTTCATACACAAATGTGTCTTATGGAGACAGAGGTCTCAGTGATATTTTGAGTTGTTAAAGGACACTGATGTCACACGGGAAATGCAAAGCAGACACTGGACATGTGATGTGGATGTTTGGGAGAAAGAACAGAGCTGGAAATGTAAAGATTGTCAGAGCAAATGCCATGTATAATCTGTTCAGTTATTTCCCCTGCTTCTGGCATAGTATATATTTAGAGCATCGCAGGAACTTAGTAAATATTTGTTGAATAGCTGAATGAAAGTAACAGAATTGATCTTTAAAGATTTGATTTTTCAGCCAGGCGTGGTGGCTTACGTCTGTAATCCCAGCACTTTGGGTGGCCAAGGCGGGTGGATCAGCTGGGGTTGGGAATTCGAGACCAGCCTGACCCACATGGAGAAACCTACTCTACTAAAAACCGTCTCTACTAAAAATACAAAAAAATTAGCCAGGTGTGGTGGAGCATGCCTATAATCCCAGCTACTTGGGAAACTGAGGCAGGAGAATCGCTTGAACCCGGGAGGCGGAGGTTGAGGTGAGCCGAGATAGTGCCATTGCACTCCAGCCTGGGCAACAGAGTGAAACTCCGTCTCATGGGCAAAGGAGTGAAACTCCGTCAAAAAAAGAAAAAGAAAGAAAAAAGATTTTACTTTTCTCTCATAAAATGGTTTTTTTTTTTTTTTTTTTTTTTTTCTTTCTGGTAGGACAAATATTGGCAATTTTTGGGTGAGAGCAAAAGGCTGAGGATGGTGGTCCCTTGGGGAATCACGACTTTTAGGCATGCAAGGAGGACAGGAGTTCTAGAAAAGAGATAAAGGAGGAACAGTGACAAAGAGGGGGAAACAGGAGCATGAAAATTAAGATGTGGCATGGTCTAATTTAAAAAGGTTAGGTTTGGCAGTAAGCCTTACTGATGAAACAATTTTTTAAAATAAAAATCTTATTTCACTGATGTGGAGCCTAACTTGTTTTTATATAGTTATTTATTTTTTTGGGATGGCGTCTTGCTCTGTCACCTAGGCAGGAGGGCAATAGCACAATCTTGGCTCACTGCAACCTCTGCCTCCTGGGTTCAAACAATTCTCCTGCCTCAGCCTCCCAAGTAGCTGGGACTACAAGCACATACCACCATAGTCAGCTAATTTTAAAAATTTTTTGCAGAGGTGGTGTCTTGCTTTGTTGCCCAGACTGGTCTCAAACTCCTGGTTTCAAGTAATTCTCCTGCCTTGGCCTCCCACAGTGCTGGGATTACATGTGTGATCCACCACACCCAGCCCACATAAAGTGTTTTGAACAATACCCGGCATAGGCAAGTGACTAATAAGTATTACTTGGCAATATTAGTGGAGGTGGTGATGATTGTGTTAGTATTACAGAAATATTCCCATTTTGCAGGAGTAAACCAAAGCTTAGAGAAGTTGCATACTTGGACCAAGGCCACACAGCTTGAAAGTGATACAGCCACAAGTCTTATAGCCTTATACCCAGGTCTCTGTAGCCAAATCCTATACTTTTTTAGACAAAGCTGGTATTAGATTTAGGTTTTTATAAATTCCAAATATAATAAGCTATTTCAAACTCATAAAAGTGTAGCTGATTTTCTAGAACCCAGAAAAAGTATAGAATACTAAAAAATTAAGAAGGCTAAACAAAAAGAGAAAAATTACTTACCGTTTGCGATCACCTGGATTAACGGCAACTAATGCTCCTCTATCCCAAATCATGTCAAATTTGCCAATATTTGTCCTACCAGAAAGAGAAAAAACATTTTATGGGAGAAAAATCAAATCTTTAAGAAGATGAACAGCGCCCCCCATGGTGCATGCTGGTACTTCAAACATCATCAAGATTACTAGGATCTCACGTCCGCATTTCCTCATAGAGTCCATAAGGATGTGTGGACCTGAGTGTGGAGAGCTGTCCATCCCCTCACGGTTTTAGGGGCCTGTGGCAGCAGCCTCCCCACTCTATTATGATTTGGGGACATGAAGAAAGAACAAAGGACGGTGTGCAACAACTCTGCTCTCAGCCTCTGGCTCAGGTATCAGGGACTTTCAGGAAATGAGCTCTTATCTCCCTCGGCCACTTGAAATTCATTTCTATTACAGGCCCAGCTGCAAGGTAGAAGACACAGTCTTACTCACCTTTCTTTTTCCCTAGCTGCCTCAGTTTCCCATAGTTTGGGAGCTAACCAAAGACAAAACACATTAAAGTGTGCAGACAAGAATGTAACAAAAATACCTGCAGAACAGACATTCAAAAAAATGCTTTGTGGGCCGGGCGCCGTGGCTCAAGCCTGTAATCCCAGCACTTTGGAAGGCCGAGATGGGTGGATCACGAGGTCAGGAGATCGAGACCATCCTGGCTAACACGGTGAAACCCCGTCTCTACTAAAAAATACAAAAAACTAGCTGGGTGAGGTGGCGGGCGCCTGTAGTCCCAGCTACTCGGGAGGCTGAGGCAGGAGAATGGCGTGAACCCGGCAGGTAGAGCTTGCAGTGAGCTGAGATCCGGCCACTGCACTCCAGCCTGGGCGACAGAGCGAGACTCTGTCTCAAGAAAACAAAAACAAAAACAAAAACAAAAAATGCTTTGTGGATGTTACACAAGCGGAGGAGAGTGATGAAGAGACCTCCACTCCCATGCCTGCACTGCTTGGCAAGCATTCAAGTTTTTTAAAGTGCAGATGTAGTATTCAACCTACCTGGGAAAATCAAAAATGCTGCAACAGTACAATGAAATGTTCCCCGAAGAACTCTGTAATGAAATAATGAAAACAAAATTTTTTGTTTTACTTAGTACTTACTTGAATAGTCAAGAAAAGAGGGCCAAGCAAAGCAAAAGTTCTAGGGAAAGAATGTGTTAATAAAACATAATTAAAGTAAATAATTTTACTGCACTTTATTGGCACCTTATTTTTTTCTTTTAAAACCTGTGTGAGGTTCTTTTGGGCCAACTCAGAGGCATATCACAGAGGACAACCTTGAAGATCAGTTGGCTGTTATTCACTTCAGAGTTTGCTATAAAATTCTAGCAATGTTTCCTTGAGCAGAGTGATATTTGTACTCTGCTAAAGATAAATCTGCAGGTCAACCAATTACCAGGCAGGGTGGTACTGAAAAGTCAGGTATTTTAAGTTATTCCGGAAATGTGCAATTGTGCTGATTCTTCCATTTTTGCTCATTCATTCAGCCAATGAGCATTTATTTGCTGAGCGCCTAGTGGACAAGACACCTATCCTGGGTTCAAGACAGTAGATTTGAATGAGACACAGTCTCTGACCACAGTGAGGACAGACTAGAGCAGAGAAGCGTGGGCACAGAGAAACATTACAATCTAGAACGGCCTGCTCTGTTATGGTTCTGTGCCTGCGAACTATGTGAACATAAGAGGCAGAGCAGGGGCTTGCCTGGGAGCATCAGGGAGACCAAACAAAAGGTGACTTTTGGCCAGGTGTGGTAGCTTACACCTGTAATTCCAGCACTTTGGGAGGCTGAAGCAGGCAGATCGCTTGAGCCCAGGAGTATGAGACCAGCCTGGGCAACATGGCAAAACTCCAACTCTACAGAAAAAATTAGATGGGTGTGGTGGCACATGCCTGTAGTTCCAGCTACCTGGGAGGCTGAGATGGGAGGGTCACTTGAGCCTGGGAGGTCAAGGCTGCAGTGAGCTGTGATTGTGCCACTGCACTCCAGCCTGTGTGACAGAGTAAGACCCTGTCTCAAAAACGAACACTTGGAGCAAAATAATCCTAAGAAATCAACAACAACAACAAAAATCAAGAGAACAAAACAAAAAAGAGGTGACTTTTGAAAGGGTGACATTCTAGGGTGTGGTCTGGGGGCGCACTCCAAGAGGGGGCAATATAACATAGACTTTAGGATCCTGGGAGCTGGGACGAAGAGCAGTGTAGGAAAGGTGTGTCAGCGCACAAGACTGCTAGATTTTATTCTGAAATGAGGTCCCCACACAGGTTTACAAGTAGAGGAGGAAGGGTCTTTGACAACCAGCCTGGGATCACTGGGTCAGCCCAGAGACGAGTAGGCCTGGAGGCAGGAGAACAGCTGGATCTCAATTTTGCCTGCAGATTGGAATCAAGGGGAGCTTTAAACAGTACTGATGCCAGAGTCCCACCCCTAGAGATTCTGACATAACTGGCCTGGGGTAAGACCTTTGGATTGGGAATTTTTATAAGATCCAAAGATGATTTCAAATGTGCAGCCTGGACGGGGAACTGCTGCTCCAAGAGGGGCCTGGAAGCAGGACTAGCCCTCTTTGGACTGAGTAAACTCCTTGGATTCTCTAATGCTTTGAGAATAGGGTGGGAGGAAGATGTGAAATAAAAAATACCATTGAGTTTCCTACTGATCTGAGCAAGAATTTTTTTTTTTTTTTTTTTTTTTTTTTTTTTTTTTTTTTTTTTTTGAGACAGAGTCTTACTCTATTGCCCAGGCTAGAGTGCAGTGGTGTGATCTTGGCTCACTGCAACCTCCACCTCCCAGGTTCAAGTGGTTCTCCTGCCTCAGTTTCCTGAGTAGCTGGGATTATAGGCACACATCACCACAGCCAGCTAATTTTTGTATTTTTAGTAGAGATGGGGTTTCGCCATGTTGGCCATGCTGGTCTTGAACTCCTGACCTCAAGAGATCCACCCACCTTGGCCACCCAAAGTGCTGGGATTATAGGCATGAGTCACCACGCCCAGCTGAGCAATTAATTTCAATATTTAGAAAAGAGTACTTTGTGAGACACTGAGTATACAGATGGACGATAGATCCTATAGGACAATACAACTCTGACCCCACAACTGATTCAGGAGTTAAGAAGAAATTACTTAGGCAGATAGTGAGGGTACGGAAGGTTTTCCTCTTAATGAAAAGCAGCCTCAAATCATTTTTCTTTCTAACAAAGAGCAGCCTTTAAAATCGAGCTGCAGACATAGATGCTGGCAGTTTGTGCCAATCATGTTCAAAATGGTGGCTCTATCTTCCCTTCTCTGCCAGCCACCTGTACAGTAAGAAGCAGACAACATGGTGCCAGCCAAGGGAAGAGTTCATTTGCATAATAAGATTAGGGCGGGGAGACCAGTCTTCCCAGCACTTTATGTAAACATCACACTTGATTGAACCAATCTGTGAGCCCTATGTAAATCAGACACTGACTCCGCAGGCTGCACTATAAAATCTGGTGGTTGCACACCTGGCAGGTTTTTTCCGCTCAGGAGTCCCCTCTCTCTCACTAGAGAGAAAGTTGTTTTCTTTTCTCTTTCTCTTTTTTTTTTTTTTTTTTTTTTTGCCTATTAAACCTCCACTCCTAAACTCCTCGTGTGTGTCTGTGTCCTAAATTTTCCTAGCACAAGATGACAAACCTGGGGTATTTACCCCAGACAAGGTAGCTGCTTCACAACCTCTGCAGTGACTTGGTCAATGACTGCCAGCTTCCCTAATTTTTACCATCACACTTCTTCCATTTTAGGACCAGCCAGAGAAAGGCAAACATGCTCTCCAAACCAATTTCATAGGATGCTCCATTCCTAGTTGCCCACCTCCAGCTTCCCTGTGCCAACAGCCTCCCATTGGGACATGCTGGGAGTTTTACTTTTGTCCACTGTAAAGCCTTCTCACTCCTCTGCCTGCCTTTGAGTCTCTGCCAAACGGATTCCCTCTGCTTGTTCTCACTTGGGTAGTGTTTGTTTATTTACAGTGGATCATTCTGCTCATAGCATAAAGACCACTCCCAAACCTATCATTTTCAGCCCAAACCCCACTCCATGCTTCAGACATAAAACCTTTGCCACTCCACAGGTCCCTTAAACTCATCATCTCTAGAAAAAGATTCGTTCTTTCTGCCCTTCTCATTTACTATTGACCATCCAGCCAGTTATCTGAGCCGGAAACGTGAACTCATCGCTCCTTTGGTCCTCATTCGGTCACAGAATCCTGTGGGTCTATCGTAAATGTTGCTTTAATCCATCCTATCTACTCGCTATGCCCCATCACTCTCCTCGCTCAGGGATTTGTGATGTCTTTCCTGGACCACGGCCACAGCCTCCTGTCTGGTCTCTCTGCCAGGAGGCTACTTCCCTTCAAATCACTTCCTATGAGGCCCCTTGGGTGATGGAAGTAGTATCATCCCCAGGTGTCCAAGGCCATGGACCCAGGCCCTGCCTGATTCCAGCTCTATCTGTCACCCTGCTTCAGGAAGCACCGCCAGGCTGGGCAGGGGTAACTCCCATCTCTTTCCTTAATACCCTATGTCTTTACACTTAGCTCCACGCATTACAAATAGCTTTGTCCCTGTTTCTCTTCTCTCCTAAACTAAGAGATTCTTTGGGGGGAGGGTTGGGGGGGGGGGGGGGGGGGGGGGGGTGTTATCTTTATCTCTTCAATGTCTTAGGCGGGGTCTGGAACATGATGGGCTCTCAGAAAATGTATGTTAATAAAAATAAAACAAATGTAAAAACTTGAGTACAGAAAGGCTTTGACCTCAGCTTTTCCATACATATGTCTATATTTGTTTAGGTAGCTATCACCTACATTTTTAAGCCCTTGCTCCTGATACTATATAATGTCTAGGATGAATCTGTGTGCTAAATAGGAACCACTGGACACATATATGGTATCCTCATAATACTCATGCTGAGAAAAACTTTTGTGGGGATATGGATACAATTATTTACCCAAACCAAAACAAACCTTAAATACTTTGGCTCCAGGAATTTCGGTGATTGGTTCTTCTGTGTAAGAAAGATTCTGCTCTGTAAAAAATTCTCGTATCCCAAGTTCACTGATTTCCACACCAACTACACTGTGTCCCCGGTTTGCAAACCTGCATAAAATCATACATTTACACTTAAATTATGTTTTCAAATGACTAAATAGAGGGTTATATTGGATTAAGCATATATTTTCTTTAATTTAAAGGAATTTATATGAATTCAGGTTCACAGGGTTTCAAAGAACATGCAGGAAAGCAGATCTATATTATTTTCAAACCTTATAAAAATTCTGAAAAACTGACTTATATGACCTCAGGAAACAGTAAACATTTGGAAAATTATATATATCTTTTTTTTTATGTATGGAACAGTTGGAATGAAATTATAGATATGTAACTTAAAATACTGATTTAATACTAATTGATTTGACTAGAGGAAATGCTTTTCAATTTCTCTAAATCAGTACTGCCCATTAAAATTTTCTGCAATGATGACAATGTCTGTATCTGTGCCGTCCAATAAAATAGCCATTAACCACGTTGGCTCCTCGTGATTGAGGAACTGAATGTTAAATTTTATTTAGTTTACATTTAAATAGCCACATGTGGCTAGTAGCTACTGTACTGAAGTGAACAGGTCTAGAACATTAGCACTCATTTGTATACTAATCTTGTAGTTTCCATTTGCTTAAAATAAACACTATCCAAAATTTGTATATTTTATTATATACAATAGCATTTTCCTGGTAATTTTATCTGTTTGTTTGTTTATTTATTTATTTATTCATTTTTTGAAACGGAGTCTCACGCTGTCACCCAGGCTGGATGGAGTGCAATGATGCAATCTCAGCTCACTGCAACCTCCACCTTCCGGGTTCAAGTGATTCTCCTGCCTCAGCTTCCTGAGTAGCTGGGATTACAGGTGCCTGCCACCATGCCCAGCTAACTTTTTTTTTTTTTTTTTTGAGACAGAATCTCACTCTGTCAGCCAGGCTGGAGTACACTGACACAATTTATCAGCTCGCTGCAACCTCCACCTACTGGGTTCAAGCAATTCTCCTGCCTCAGCCTCCAGAGTAGCTGGGATTACAGGTGTGCCCCACCACACCCGGCTAATTTTTGTATTTTTAGTAGAGACAGGGTTTCACCACGTTGGCCAGGCTGGTCTCAAACTCCTGACCTCAAGTGATCTGCCTCCCAAAGTGCTGGGATTACAGTCCTGGTAAGTTTTATAATTAACAGAATTCAGTCTCAGGATCTTGGACTCAAGAGAAAACAGTACCGGTGGCACAAATACCTAGGACAATTATGATTTTATGTCAAGTGAAATAAAAACATAGTTCTGCTATAATATAACATGTGCCTTCCTACAATCACTGCACTATGCTAAATCACGCAATAAAAATCGCCAGGCTGGTGGGGAAAGTGAGGGCACAGCATTTAAAATCTTTGTCAGTGCCACACTGAAAAACAAAAACAGGAACCTAATAACAACAGTTTTCTATATATTAAACGGTTGAGAAATAGATAAATACTACAATAGGGGACTTTACTGTGAAAAAGACCTCAGCTTACTGAGGTAGCTGAGGGATGTTTGTGCATTCCATCTATTCATCCATGGCTTAGTTCAACTGGGTGCAGTTTTCTGCTTTTACCTAAGGCTTCTTACAGATGAAATCACACACAAGCAAATGTGAAATTTATTTCATGTTCAAATTGTTCCCAAATATATCAATTGAGTTAGAATTCAGTTTTGAAACAAGTATAGCAGGACTGACTGTACCTTTTATCTACAAAAGAGTACATACTTTCATTGTGGGCAGAGCATGAACTGTTGAGTTGTAAAATGAAACATTAATAAATTGTCTTTCATCTTTCGTATTTCCTAGGATATTTGTAAACATACAGGGAGTTTTAAAATTCTCCATACATTTTAAAGTTACAAAATGTAAACAAAAATGTTATTCAAATTGGCTGCATGTGTTTTTATTTCTTATTCAAAAGGTGGAAAAATGAAGCATAGCCTACTACAACCTGTAACAAAAACAAAATAAGACCAAGTGTGGTGGCTTATGCCTGTTATCCAGCATGTTGGGAGGGAGAATCTCTTGAACCCAGGAGTTCAAGGTTGCAGTGAGCTATAATTATGCCACTGCACTCCACCCTAGGTGACAGAGTGGGACTGTCTCAAAAAACTCAAAACCAAAACCTAAGTATCTTAAACATTTTGTTTTAATGCTTTTTGGCCTTAGCTCATGATCAGTTTTTCTATTCACATCTGATGTCCGTATAGACCTCAATACATAGATCAGTTACATAAATGAAAAATCATCTACTACCATAACTTCTTACATGTAATTACAGTAGCTCAGTTCTAATATATATATATATATATAAAACTGTATTTACGTATATATACACATATATACACATACTTTTGGAGATGGAGTCTCGCTCTGTCACCTAGGCTGGAGTGCATGGGCTCACTGCAACCCCTGCCTCCTGGGTTTAAGCAATTCACCTGCTTCAGCTTCTCAGGTAGTTGGGATTACAAGCATGCGCCGCCACGCTTGGCTAATTTTGGTATTTTTAGTAGAGACTGGTTTTCACCATGTTGGCCAGGCTGGTCTCGAACTCCTGACCTCAAGTGATCTGCCCACCTTGGCCTCCCAAGTGCTGGGATTAAAGGTGTGAGCCACTGCACCTGACAAGTTCTGATATTTTTTGTAATTTTTTTTAAATGGCTTTAGACCCCAAATATTCAACAATCACATTTAATTGGCTATTTCATACTATTTTCCTAATGTTGCCTCAGAACCTGTTACATTGTTACCATTTATGATGACATTGCATGACAATCTGTTTATAGAGTTAATCTTTTTTTGAGGGTAGTTTTGAAAGTAACCATCTCTTTTGGCTCAATGAATTGGTTAAAATACAGGTGTAATAATATAGTTTAAATATTCTCAATTTCACATGAATTGAAGACCACACTTGAATCTTAAAGTCATAGCAGCCCTCTAACAAAGGCTCTCAGCTACAGTTGAGTGTGTGCTGGCTGCAAAAATTCTATCATCTCTACTTGAAAATCAACTCCCAAAAAATGCATGCATACTCTGTTAGTCACCGATATTTATATTCAGAATAGACCATTTTTAAATTATTATATTTTACATTTATTAATCTTTTAGTTTTAATTTGTTTTTTGAGGCAGGGTCTCACTATGTTGCCCAGACTGGTCTCAAATTCCTGGGCTCAAGAGATCCTTCTGCCTTGGCCTCCCAAAGCGCTGGGATTACAGGCAGGAACCACCACACCTGGCACATTTACTAACCTTTTCATACATTCTTTTTTCTTTCCTGCTCAATGATCAAAGTTCTCAACATTCAAGCTTATAAATAAATGCATATCTTGGCAGGTATGATTGTGACTATATATTATCATTACAACAGAGTTCTGTAGAGAACGATGTCGAGGTGACTTTAGGGTAACTCACAGTAAAAGTGGCTTGTGAAAGTGAATTCTCTTTGTAGAGAATTACTCACAAGAAATACCTTCTTAATCACAGGTTTTATAACAACCGTTCACGATAACAGAAACTCCTGTGTTCCCTGGTGGGAGGGGAAGGTTGAACTGAACTGTGGACTATGAACATTGTCCTGCCAAAAAGCTGTAATTCATTTTGAATTTCTCTGTCCACCACCATTTCAAATATCTAAAAATTAACTTAGCTAAATTCCTAAACCACCTACAAAAACTGAACCACATACAAGGATCCAGGAAATGTAAGAGGGAAGGCTGTTTTTTCTCCCCACATTGGCTCCAAACTGATTTTTTGATTTCGAAACTCAATCCAGAAAGACTTCATACCTGTTTCTGTTGTTTCTTACTGCTTGAGAATATTATTTCCAATTATATACCCATCACTAACAGAAACATAAGGAATTCCTGTGTATTTCCTGAAAATGGAGTTTCTAAACTCACATTCTGTTAAATCACCCAAAGAATTCATCATTAAGACAAGATAATTCTGTTAATGTTTATCTGCTCATACCATTTCATCTCAACCGCTTTTCCACAAAGAGGAAAAAATACCCTCAGTCCACTCTTGCCTTTGAGAAAAGTATCTAAATGCTTCTTTAACAGCCTGAGGAGGAAAAAAAAAAAAAAGTTTTCAGGACAATTGTATCATGGGTGAATACTTTTCATTCATTATCTCACTTAATATTCCCAACAACCTTAATAAGCAGATGCTATTGATTATTATACTCTCCAGCTTACATATGAAGAAACAGGTAACTTGCTCAGACACCCACTCAGTCAGTGGTAAATCTGACTTACACCCAGGGCTCTCCTGATTAGTAATTTAAAATAATTTTTTTCTTGGGTATTTTTTGAGAATTCTTTATTAATTCTCTAAATATATACTATTTTGGGGGTGAAGGAGCCTCTGGAGCCATGGATTTTTCAACATTCATTTCATGATAAGTTCTCTAGACATGGACTCAAGTCTCAGAAGTAAACCTGAGAAGTGTAACTCTTGTAGTTTCTTGTAATTTCCTCTGTGGAGATGTGGCTCTTCTAAGGTCATCCACACGACAGAAATAAGCCAATGTTTCTGGGATGATGATGATGATGACGTCATCTCCTGGGGAGATGGGCGTGGCTGCCCAGAACAAGCAATGTCTATAATGACCACTTTACTCAGCACTGGTCCCATGATTTATTTCTGCTATGAAGACTACTACTACATTGCACAACATCCTAGCTCACTTTTTAATTTCTTGCAACTTCTCTTCTCCCACCGTAGAGATAATTCTTCAGCATCTGAACACATCCTATTGGAAAGCAAAGTCAGACACTGCTGGTTTTCAGTATAAAGAACTGTAAGCATAAACATTGCCTGAGTACCTGTTGCAGGTATAAATATTCATGACTAATACACAGATGCTGCAGGGATCAAAGAACATATTTTAAAAATCTAAGATGTCATCATTCGTAAGTCACACCATTATTTACACACTGTGGGAAGAAAAGACACTGCCAATTAAACTACATCATGCCATAGATGCACTGTGATTCAGGAGACACAAAAATGTGAAGAATTAAATGTGCATCTGAAAAATTAGTCAAATAATGTGTACTTATATGATTATTTCTATCTCAAAGTCAGTTTCTGATAGAACATTTCTCTATTATATACTCAATATTTCTTACTGATGTCCTTGTTCCAGATGAAAAGCAGTTTTACCGTTCACCCACTTGTCTTGCCATTCTTCCAGAGTTAGTACTTGGTTTTTCTGTACCTCAGTATTGGAGTACTCTTCAATGTCAAGTGAAGTTCTTGAACCATCCATAGTTTCATAGACACCTTTGTCTTACAAGCATATGTCTTCCCTGCCTAAGTGGAAAATATTTGCAATGTTGTCATTTAAGGTCATTGGAATTCTATTGATGAGCTAAATGAAAACCTATTATTCTTAGCAGTATGACTTTTAAAAAAATATTTCTTTCTTTTTTTCTGTTTTTACTTTTGAGACAGAGTCTCGCTGTGTCTCCCAGCCTGGGGTACAGTGGTGTGATCTTGGCTCACTGCCACCTCTGCCTCCCAGCCTGGGGTACACTGGTGTGATCTTGGCTCACTGCAACCTCTGCATCCCAGGTTCAAGCAAATCTGCTGCCTCAGCCTCCCAAGTAGCTGGGACTGCAGGTGTGTACCATCACGCCCGGCTAATCTTTCTTTCTTTCTTTTTTTTTTAGAGATAGGGTCTTGCTCTGTTACCTGGGCTGGAGACCTTGGCTTACTGAAAGCCTCAACCTCCTGAGTTCAAGCGATCCTCCAACCTCAACCTCCCAAGTAGCTGGGACTTCAGGTACACACCAACACACCTGGCTAACTTTTGTGTGTATATATATATGTGTGTGTGTGTGTGTGTGTGTGTGTGTGTATATATATATATATATTTTTTTTTATAGAGATGGTTCTCATTTTGTTGTCCAGACAACAAAGAACTCCTGGGCTCAAGGGATCCTTCTGTCTTGGCCTCGCAAAGCACTGGGATTACAAGTGTGAGTCACTGCACCTAGCCAGTTCAGCATCCAATAAAAAGTGATACAAAAAATTATTTTCAGTGCGCCTGGTGGTAGAGGCAAACCCCTTAATACACATTACAAGAGATAGTTAAATAAACTGAGTTATATCTTAATACAAGTGTTTCCTCTCTCTCATGCCCCAATCATCCAGATTTCTGCGACCAAATGTGAAGGTTCTTCCCCCCAGCACACCACATATTGGACACCAGTTGGGTATCTTCTGATTTAATTCTGACATTACCTACCTGGAGATAGTGTCAGATCTGTATGTTGGGAGTTCAATCCCTACGACTTCCCTCCTCACTTAGACACCAGTCGCAAGTCCAGGTCTTGATCGGCTTCAAGTTGGGGTTCCCACACCCTCCACTTTGGGTTCGCTTAATTTGCTACAGCAACTCACAAAACTCAGAGAAATACTTAGTTATCTTTGCACATTTATTATAAAGGATACTGCAGAGGATTCGGATGAAGAGATAGGTTAGCTGCAGGTACCTTCACCTGTTCAGCTATTAGGAGGCTCTCCAAACCCCATCCTCTTGGGTTTTTATGTAGGCTTCATCACGTAGGCACGATCGTACTTACTCCTAATCAACTCTAAATTCTGCCAATTGTCCCAATTTCCTATCAATACGCTCTCAGTCTCTCCAGTCATCAGCTATACTATCAGTATCATCTTGGAGAATTCTCTCCTGGAATCTGCCCGGACTATTCTCTATTCCTAGCTTTTTGGGATCTCTCTTCATCATCATTCTGGAGATTTCCTTCTTGTCTAAATCTCCAGCTTTATTTCATATCTTCCTCTTTTTTGTTGGTGTTGTTTTTTAGTGACCACCTTTATATTGGTGAAGCCCAACCTCCAGAGCTTTTTGAAAAAGCGCAAGGAAGAAAAATATTGTTTTTCCATTTTGCACGTATAAAACATGGTTAGACTATTTCTCATCCTTGATGTATAGTTCTGCTGGGTATCAAATTCTTGGTTAGAAGTGTGGGGGCCATAGGGTGTTGGCACCCTAAAGGTTTTCACTAAACAGTGAAAAATCACGCCCACCTCAGCCTCCTGAGTAGCTGGGATTACAGGCGTGCACTACCAGGTCCAGCTAATTTTTGTGTTTTTAGTAGAGAAGAGAGTTCACCACGTTGGCCAGGCTGGTCTTGAACTCCCGGCCTCATGTAATTCACCAGCCTTGGCTTCCCAAAGCGCTGGGATTCCAGGCGTGGGCCACTGAGCCTGGCCATCCCTCTGCTTTTTTTATTTCTCCTTCTGGGACCCCTATTATTTGTCTCTAGAATCTTCTGATGTGGTACGGTAAATTTCTCATTTTTTCTATTTTTCTGTATCTTCATCTTTTCGCACTATTTTCTCAAAGATTTACCTTAATTCTCATTTTTAAAACTACTTCTTCTTCTTCTTCTTTTTTTTTTTTTGCTATCAATCAGCCAGTGCTTTGGGCGACCAAGGCAGGATGATGGCTTGAGGCCTGGAGTTTCAGACTAGCTTGGGCAACATAGTGAGACTCCCATCTCTACAAAAACAGTTTTAAAATTGGCCAGGCATGGTGGTGTATGCCTGTAATCTTAGCTACTCAGGAGGCTGAGGCAGGAGGATGGCTCGAGCCTAGGAGTTCGAGGCTGCAGTGAGCTATGATGGTGCCACTGCACGCCAGCCTGGGCTATAGATCAAGATCTTGTCTTAAAAAAAAAAAATAGAATAGGTACTAAAATGAATAAAGGCAAAGAATGTGGGTGGGGCTTATATTGTAGGGTGATGTGAGTGTATTTCATTTGGAAACCTAGATGTATTTATTTATTTATTTTTTAGAGGTAGGGCCTCACTCTGTCACCCAGGCTGTAGTGCAGTGGCACAATACAGCTTCAAACTTCTGGGCTCAAGGGATCCTCCTGCCTCAGCCTCCAAAGGAGCTGGGACTGCAGGTGCACAACCCCATGCCTGGCTAACGTCTTTAATGTCTTTGTGCTAGTCAGACTTTCCACAGATGGATCTCCCAATTCCTGTCTTAAGGATTCTGTTGTTGGAGTCACTGTTATATACTCATATAAGAAAAGAAGAAGCGAAGTAGGCGAGGGTCCCAGCATCCAGTTTGCTGTACTCAATTAATCCTCATGTTTTCTGTATGTTCCCATGCTCAACTGGGTATTGTATCTTCTCAGTCTAGACACTCTGTTTTACCCTTTCCAGAGAATAAACCCCCAAAGTGTGGTGAGATGCACACACTCGGTTGCAAGAAGTTGAGAAAGGGATCTGGGAATTTGGCCTGTTCTGAACCAGCATTTCAAGCAATCCTTCTTGTTTCAACCATACTCTCACACTTCATGGAGGTACCTGGTGCTGCTAATCCTGAGCATTTGGGGATTCTGTAATGCAAACTGGGCTGCTCAATGGCTTTCCTCATTGCTGGTTTAGAATTCAGCTTCCTTGAAGTTGCAAAATCCTTTCCCACTTGTCCGTTTGCCTTTCCAAAATTTTATTAATTTTTTCTCTCCTGTCCTGGCTATCCTAGTACTTTATGCCTTAAAAAAAAAAATTCCTGTTACTTTCAGGAGGCAGCAAAAACAGACTAAAGTAGATATTGAACCATAGTTTAATATCCTATCTCTACTCCACACATTTGTATTTTCAAGTAATTTTCTGCAGCTTATTTTTTTGCATGGGAAATGCACACTAAGGAAACTGATAAAAGACATGTACAATGTAAACTAACAATAAAATTCAAAGTCTCTCAACTGACTGAAGGCACAGTTTCTTTCCTTTCCTTTCTTTTTTTTTTTTTTTTGAGATGGAGTTTCACTCTTGTTGCCCAGCCTGGAGTGCAGCAGTGCGATCTCGGCTCACTACACACTTTCTTGGCTAACGGGACCCCAGAGTAACCTTGAAAACTGAGTTCTGGGCCAAGAGTAGATAGAGTGTCAGATACAACTCTATACCTCCTCTCCTGCTAACCACAGTTAGGCTTTGTTCCCTAAGGGCTTAAGGGAAACCAGCCCTTTCAGAAGATTCTACTACTGATATCAACCAACCCCCTGATGCTGCCCCTCCTTTTGTGCCTGATAAGAAATCACAGACCACAGAATGGTTTTGGCCAGTCTACTGAGAATGCACAGTAAGGGTTTTTCTGTCCTCTACTTCACCTTTTGATGTAAGAGGGCCAAAAACTCCATCCATCCTGTGATCGTGGTAACACTGCCATTTTTTGTGCATGGTACCCATGAAGCTCAATTACACATGGGTACTTTCCTCCTTTCATAAATATTCATGAGTCATCCTACAGCTTACTGAATATGTATATTTGGCCACCTTCCTCAGCATAAATTCCTGTTCCCTTTGCCCCTCCCTGGAAGTGTCAGTTTCTGGCTTCTGGCCTGAGGCTACACTTCTCAGCCTGTCAGAATGGCCACTCTACAGTCTGAAACCATTCATGAGAAAGAGATCTCCTTTCTAAATTAAGAACTTCTCATTCTTTAGCTGACAGACCATAACTGCAGATCTACCTGAATATATGAGGAAAATGCCTGTTCTTTCAATGTCAACTTTGCAATATTAAGGACAATATAACACCATCATTCTAACATTCCCTTTAAATTATCAGTGAAACTAGTTTGGATTATACTAGCATGCTATTATTGGTGGGTCTAATTTGATGATTAATCTGTGAAATAGCAAACATTGCATAAAAGCATATATTTCAGGAAAATTTCCCCTTTTGTTGCTAAATTTGGCCTCAGTATGCTTAGGATATAGGGAGGAGGCATTTCTCTCATTACTTGGGAACATGAATTCACTTCTTATCAAACACTTGTTGACAAATGGCTTCTGCAAGACCCTGGTGGTATCAGGAGGTGACTCTCAAAAGAGTTTTCTGAGAAGTCAGTGGAAAATTTCTGATTTATATTGGGTACAGAAAAGCAAAATAATGTTACAGTTTTCTCATCTTCATTTTCTTTCAGAAACTCTGGAACCTAAATTCAAGGCTTCATAAAGCAGTTCTCTACTTAAAAGAGAAGCATAATCTTTATCATAGTGCCACAGCAGCTGGAGTAGCACAACTCTATTGCTTTCACACAAACTTGAACTGTCTAACAAAATCATGCACATAACTTAATCACGTCTTAGCTGTTTGTTTTTGAGACAGGGTTTCCCTCTATCCCCCAGGCTGGAGTGCAGTGGTATTATGACACTTCCATCTCCAACACTGGGGCTCAAGGAATCCTCCCACTTCAACCTCCTGAGTACCTGGGACTACAAGGGTGCACCACCATGCCTGGCTAATTTTTAAATATTTTGTAGAGACAGGGTCTTGCTATGTTACCCAGGCTGGTCTCAAACTCCTGGGCTCAACGTCTTAGCTGTTCTAACAATTTCTCAGCACGGACTCCACTTGTACATACCATTTCTAGAGAAATAAAGTTTATTGCTATAATAAAAAAAAAGTGCACATTACAAGAATTAAGGAAGGGAAATTTCACAATAATTCCTGCCCACAAACAGAAAGTGTAGATGTGCTCCTTTGGTCATACAAGTCCTCAAGTTGTTCTGGTCTCCATTCTCACCTTTTCAAAAGCATCTGCTACAGTTTTGTTTTTAAATTTCATAAAATTGAAGAGAAACTTCCCTAAGGTGCACAAATCTTAAAAGAGTATGACTCGGTGAATTTTTTACATATGCATACACCTGTGTAACCCACCACAGAACAAGACAGAATGTTTACAGCACCCCAGTTTCCCACATCTCCAGGGAATCACTCATTAGTTGGCAGTATTTCTCTTTTTCTAAAAATCATTAATACACCAGGCTGGGGCAAAAACCAAGAGTCCGTTTCCACACACAAAAAAAAATTTGAAAAATTAGCCAAGCGTGGTGCAGCGAGCCTGTAGTCCCAGTTACTGAGGAGGCTGGGGCGGGAGGATCACTTGAGCCCAGGAGTTTCAGGTTACAGTGAGCTATGATTGTGCCACTGCACACTAGCCTGGGCGACAGAGGGAGACCCTGTCTGTAAAAGAAAAAAGAAAAAAAATAAATAATTAAAACACACCAATGCTTTGGACACACTTTAAATACTGGACCTTGGATTCAGGACATTTATCGTCCAATCTCGTTCTTCCCAGTTTCCACTTCAGCCCTGAACCCCACTTCACAGGCCTGATTGCTGGGCTGTCTACGCTTGTAAGAATTCCTGGGAGCCCTAGCACAGGCGCATACACTCCTAGCAAATCGTTCGGTTTCTCACCCGCCCCCTCCGCCCCCTAGGGAGCCTACCTCGCTCACAGCACGTTGCCAGCCTTTGCCTCCGCCACCGCCGACGTCCTCATGAGCCAGTCCAGGTCCGCGCCCGCCTCCGCCACCTCTCGGCGCCCCGCCCGCGGCCCGCCTCCGCCCGCGCCCCGCCTCCGCCCGTGCCCCGCCTCTTTCCCGCGCCCCGCCTCCGCCCGCGCCCCGCCTCTTTCCCGCGCCCCGCCTCTTTTCCGCCCCGCCTCAGTTCCCGCCCCCTTCCTCGGCGCCCCGTCTCCACTCCCGCCCCGGACCTCGTTGCACAGACTCCACCCCCTTCCCCAGGCGCCTGGGTTTGCGCAGCGGCGGAAATGGGCAGGGCGGAGCGAGCGCCGCGGCTAAAGCGAAGGCGGGGACCCTACCCATCCCTGGTCCCGTCGGCTCCTCCCACCCCGGGTCACGCCGTGACAGGGGCGGAAGCGGCGGCGGCGGCGGCGGCGGCCGAGAGGAGGCTGGGGCTCGCGGCGCGGCTCCTGCCGTCCTGTGCGCGCGGCGCGCGGCTCCGGAGAGGCGCCCGCAGTCCAGGGCGGCGCGCACCGCCTCGCTGGCGCTCAGAGGTGGGAGACTCCCCACTCCGGGGACGTGCGTGGGGACCGTGGCGAATTTCGGGTGACAGCGTTGCATAAAGCAGCCTGGTTGGGGTGCAAGCCCTCCCTCTCCCCCTGTGCAGCGCCCCTCACCGTAGTGGGAGGTGGGCGGGTGCCCCAGGGACGGATACCTCCTGCCCCGGATTAAAAGAGGGTGCGGGGTGGGTAGCTGTCTGAAGAAGGGGGAATTCCCGGGCTAGGGTGTTGGGGTAGTGGGGTCGCCAGATTCGTCGCGATGTTGCCGGTCTCCTAACCCCCCTACAATGTTTCCTTTCTGTACAGCGGTGCCTTTTCCCCGAGACTCCCGGCACCTCTTCAGCGAAAAGGTGAGCCCCGGGGCAGTTGCTTCTCCGACTTCGAAAAGCTTCCGAAAGCTTCTCGGAAAGCGAGGCGGCTGCAGCTGGCACCGGGAGTTTGGGGCTCCCTCCTGGTGACTATCAGAGCCGCGGGAGAACCCCACGGTCCTGGAGTAGGAACTCCCTCGCTCGTTCTTCCCGGCCGGTAGGGTGCGGCCCGGAGCCCGCACAGCCTTGCAGGTGTTGTAGTAATTCTCTGGCACAGCTACCACGCATTGAGACTTGATGAGCATTGCCAGGTT